TAGTAACCCTGCATAGGGTTTCTGAAACATTTTAAATCTTTTCAGGAGCAGAATTCCTCATCTTTCTCCCATGGAGCATCTGGTGGGCTTGAACCACCGACCTTGTGGTTCACAGCCCCAGGCTTATCCTAAAGAGCCAAGATGCTTCCCATTTCACACTTAGCTATCCAACATTTCACATTCATGACAACAGTTTTAAAAATTCTACTGTTTGACTATTTTGTGCATAAACAACATATATCTGACAAATGCTGAGGTAAGAGTAAATCTGTTGTGATGGTTAAAGCCATGTGTCAGTGTGACTGGGACATGATTCACACTGATTTGGGCAGTTGTGTAGTGTTGAAATTGAGCAGTTATGACATTATGAAATTTTGCAGTTGTGTCATGATTTATTCGTTCTCATTTATGTGACCTGCTATGACCATCCTTCATTTTCACGATCTTGGAATAACAACCTGGTCTTTGAAACCTACCCACATGAATAAATAAGGAGTCGATGTGTATTTTGTCTCATTTTTTCAAGTGTAAAGAAAATGTGTTACGACAGTAGATTTGGAGGAACAAGAAGACAACACGAGTGAAGTGAACGAAGAGCATGTTTGGAGTTGGCAGCCAATTATGAAACAAAGGAATCCACTGAGACAAGTAGACAGCTCCCTCTCTGCCAACCATGATGTAGGACCTCCTCCTCAGCCTAATGGCATTGTAACAATGACAAAACAAAACAAAACAAAAAAGCATGCATGCAAAAGAAGCAAGCAGCAATTAGGGATGAGGGAATACATGTTCTGCCTTGTTCCATCTTGGAAGAAGAACTGAGGAGGTATTTGAGGGGAGTTTGTGAACTAGACAAGGTATGAGATCACAAGGAGGTCTTGAGTTGGAATAAAATAGAGCATACAAGAAGGCTTCAAAAAGTTTGTGGGAAAATGGAATTAAAGATAATGCTATTTTTCAGGAACTCTTTGAGGCTCCCTCACACAGTCTGTGAACTGAAGTCATAGATGCATACCCATGTATCTCTCAGCAGAATACTTGCAATCGGCATAAACAAAGCAGTTAATTTTAAACCTATATTGCTCCATTCGTTCTTCCCGTCGGCATGACTGTATGGTGGCAACACTGATCTAGGGGATGGAGGAACTCCTTTTCCTTGTCATTTTCACCAGCTGGTTGCTTTTCTAGCCATTCTAGACTCCTTTGGCACTGCAATGGTAACCCTAAGGTCAGTGGTTCAAACCTACCAGCTACTCCTCAGAAACGCTATACAGGGTTGCTATGAGTCAGAGCCTATTCAAAGGCACATAACAACAACACAACAACTGACTTGCATAGGCATCCTGGTGGTGCAGCATTAAGCATTTGGCTCCTAACTAAAAGGTTGGAAGTTCGAAGCCACTCAGAGGCTCCCATAAAGATTCCAGCCTGGAAAACCCTATGAGGCAGTTCTACTCGGTCACATGAGTAGGGCTGCAGGGAGAAAACAACCTAATAAGACAAGAGGGCAGAAGACAGTAGCAAGTACACAGTAAAGAGACAGACATCCAGAATTGATGTTTGCAGAGACCTTGTGTTTCTGAACTCAGGTGAAGACACAGGTAGGAGAAAGCAAGGTACATTGACACAATGGTATGGCTTTCAGTCCAGCCCATTAACTTTCAGCAGAAATTCCTACCATACTCCAAAGACCAATGGGGTCCCACACTTGGGTTTTAGAATTATTGTGAGTTTTTATCTCTTTTGTATGTCTTTTGCAGTGCAGTGCCTTCATTAATAGAGCCCTTCTAACCGTACATGATCTTGTGACTCCCACAGAATGATTGGGTTAGACTATGCAAATAAGGTGCTGTGTCCATCAAGGGACAATGCAAATAAGGTGCATGGAACCCTTATTAACATAGTCCCACCCCACAAAAAGTCTTCCCTAACAAGAACCCTGTGTCGGGTGGTGGTGGTGGTGGTGGCTGTGTGCCGTGGAATCAGTTCTGATTCATATCGACACTGTACAGTGTTTTCGAGGCTATAAATTTTTACGGGAGCAGAACATCTCATCTTTCTCCCTCAGAACAGCTGGTAGTTTAGAACTGTTGACCTTGTGGTTCGTAGCCTGATTTGTAACCACTACACTACCAGAGCTCCTTCCATGTGGGGTAGAACAATGTAAATAAGGTGTATAGAATTCTAAGAGGGGATTATCCTTTGGGGCTGGGTCCCTGCATTGAGAACCTCCTAGACCCCTGAGACAGAGGGCTGTAATATCAGAGATGACAAAAGATGGCTAGAAGTAGTGGCAAGCACTGAGAGTCCATCGGCAAAGAAACAGCATCAGCAGAATCAGGAGACCAGCATGAGATGGTTACAGTGGGTTTCCAGGTCCACAGAGCAAGGAGGCTACAGTAAGCATGCAAACCCAAAGAAATGGACAGCTAATGAGCAGAAGACTTGCTGATGGAGTGAGCGGAGTATGTCTGTTCACTTAATTTGTAGAGCTAAAGAAAGAACTGTAACTCTTGTGTGAGCAGGACCAGCAGTAGACAAGGAGAGGCAGCTGTCCTGGTTGAAGTAGTTCCTGTGAGTTACATCCAAGTTGATCCTGATCCCGAGTTTACCCTGTTACTTCCTTAGTAAACCACTAAACTAGAAGTACAGTGCATGAGTTCTGAAGCATTGCAGTGAATTGCCAAACTCAAAGATGGGAGGAAGAGTACTGAGGAGTACCCAAAAATGGGAAGAAGCAGTTGATGCTAGAGATGATGTCATGATGTAGCAATTTAGAAAGGTTGAACATTTGGGGCATCTTTAACCTCTGTCTCATCGGAATCAGTTTTGTGCTGATTCTTATTTTTTTTTTAAACTTATTCATTTATCATTATATGTAAGTATGATGGTAAATTAAAAGAAATTACAACTGAATGAGATAGATTTTATTTCCGACATACTGTTTTTTTTATAGGATATGTACTCATTTTGCTATATTTGGGGATGGGATTTTTAAAAATTGAACTCACATGTTATTTAAAAAGTCAACTGACAACATTGTATGCATATCTTAGATAAATGTGTATTATTTGAGCTAATAAAGTGCTTTATTCATTAAGAAGAAACATTTTAATCAAAGATTAGTAAAGATTGAGTTTATGATTTACAGAAAGATTTAAGAAGCTCATTCGTTCTCATTATTTAAATATTTCCCCTCATGATTTGAAATCTGAGATACCCAAAGAGAAAATGAGTTTACCACAGGAATTAATAAGAACATTATAAAATAAGACAATGAGTTATCAGAATCAATGCCTGATTATAATACCAAGGTCAGACATGAACTCAACCTTAATCTATCAACTCCTAAAGGAACCATGGGGGAGACTGAGATGATCTGAGATAAATTTGATCCATGTTACATGTATTCTAGGGAAAGAACTTCTTAGAGCTGCCTTTACCTGGCTCACATTACCAATAAGACGTTGTCTTATGTCCTAAGTGAGCTCCCATGATGAGAAACCTGCATAAAGAATACAGGCTGCGTCTCTCACAGCACAAGGAAAGATCTGTGCATAGGATAACCGAGTGCAGGAGACCAGCATGAGAGCAGGTGGAGTTAGCCAACCTTCTCATGCAAAGTAAAAACATACAGCATTACAGCCACACACAATCAGCTCAGTGACAACTGGGAGGAAGACAGTGAGAGGACAAGATAGAACCAAGACCAGAAATTCACCTTGATGAAAGAAAGACTGACCAATAGCGTGAGTTAGAGCATCCAGCTAAAGCAGAGATCAAGACTTCAGACTACCACATCAAAGAGCCAAGGTCCCAGGCCCAGGAATCTGAACCCTAGGGAGCCAGGTTCACAGTTGGCAACAGGAATAGTAGCTCAGAATTTGTGGTTAAGGCTGGAGCTTGACATGGAACCAACAGTCCTCCTGGCAAGGGCCTGGAGTCCAGTCCCAGGCTACTCTCAATATGTGGACAGCCACGCAGTCTGCGAGTGGACAAATAGGTCTATGCAGCCAGAGTGATGATAGAAGGCGACTCTGGTCCTTAACATCCATTACTTAGTATTTTAGGACTAACTGCAGATAGGAATGCTCTGAGGTGTTCCCTGTATGACTCAATAAGGGAAATTTAAGACCAATCATTCTTTAATCTGCCTGTCACTGTTGGGTGAAATTCACAAGACAAGTGTCATTTTCCTGCCTATGCAAAATAAGGGCTGAGTAGAGCATTCTTAAATCCTCCAACTAGCACTTAAACTAACCCCCAAGACCTACTTTCTCAAAAGTGAGAAGCACCTCACAGGATATCTTCCACACAGTAGAAGAAGATGTAAGAGAAAGAGGCAGGTGTCTTACCTCCATTACAGCTACTGTAGAAACAGAGTTGGGTTTCCATATAAACATTTCCTCTTACTGCCCATATTAAAGTAGTTCTGATCTTGCCACCTCTTAGAAATGGTCCAATGGTTTGAACTTTCATGATCCCTTTTTAGGGCTATATGGTGGTGGTGGTGTGGCATGGAGTTGGTTCTAACTCTTAGCAACTCTGTACAGCGTTTCTAAAGCTGTAAATCTTTAAGGGAGCAGAAAGCCTCCTCTTTCTCCTGCAAAACATCTTTCTCTTTCAAACCACTGATGGTAAGCTTAGCATCCCAACTCATAACCACCCCACTACCAGAGTTCCTATTATAAGTGTATAAGTGATTTAAATAACAAAATCAACAGCATTCTGAATTGGGTTGACCTTGGGGTCACATAGAGTGAAGCTGTATACTTGAAAGGTTAGAGTGCTGGAAAGGATAGGGAGGGAGCAAAGATACTTCAATACTAATGGTTTTAAACGAGAAGCAGCGATAGGGTGAGGGGAAGATGAAGGCAAGCCCTTCTGATGGCAATGCAGTTAGCTTTACAGATTAGCACTAGTGAAAGCATCCCTGTTATACCGGCAGAAGAGTATATTGCCATATTCTTCCAGTTCCAGTAGGAGACACTGCAACATTTTTAAGGAGAACAGACCCTGCCATAGAAGAGAAGGGTTTGAGTTTTGTTGTGTCTGATGAAAAAGAGAAAAGGGTGGTCGGCATTAAAAGTCACATAGGATGTCCTTGTCACACCAACAGCCCCACTGGCTGCAACTGCCTGGGTGCCATCTTCATCCACCTCCAAGCACGTCTTATGGACAAACTTTGACAGGTACAAACTAGGACTAGAAGAGATTCCGGTAAGATCAGTTTTGGCTTCATCAAAGATATCCACAATACCCATAGCTTGTAGAATAGCATTAAGATCATAGCTGTCTTCTAAGGTGAACTGTGGGAAGGAGACTGCTACGGTTTCTTCTGATATGGTTTCGGGGTTAGTACATTCCACCATTTTTTCATAGGTCATTTTACTTTCAAGCTACAAAGGAGAAGAAAATCAATATTTAGAGTCAGATTTGCTGCAAAAGACCTCTTTAAGTGTCAAAAAGCAAATATGTCCCTTTGAAGAATACGGTGCCATGATGCTTTCAATCATCTCGTGTTGTTGCTGTGAAGTGCCATCTAGTTGGTTCCAACTCATCGCAACCCTGTATAGGGTTTCCAAGGAGTGGCTGGTGAGTTTGAACCACTGACCTTGCAGTTCAAACTGACTTTGTGACCCAAACCATTCTTGTGGTCCAGTACTTATCCAACAGTGCCACACCAGGATTTTTCACAAAGACATGGCAACTAGACAATGAGTATGGACGACCCTGAAGGAAAACCGATGCCTTTGAATTATGTTGTTGGTGAAGAACATTGAATATACCATGAACTGACAGAGAAACGAACAAATCTGTGCTGGAAGTACAGTCTAAATGCTTTTTAGAAGCACGGGTGGTTAAGACTTTGTCTCACATACACTGGGCATGTTGTCAGGAGGGACGAGTCTCAGGAGAAGGACATCACACTGGGACAGTGAAAAAGAGGAAGACCCTCAGTGAGATAGTTGGACACAGTAATTGTAACAATGGGCTCAAACCAGCAAAAATTGTGAGACGTTGTGCATAGAGTTGTTATGAGTCAGAACTGGCTAATGGTACCTAACAACAATAACAGGGTCAGATTGTGGAGCCGTAAAGAATGACCCAATTTCTTTGCAGCATCTGAGTCCATGTCAACAGTAACAAACTTCTCGAAATACTCCGATTTCACTTAACACTCCTCCAAGGAAATCTCTTTCCTCTTTATAAGAAGTTATAGAACAATTTGGATTCTAGTGTGCTTTGGACGCAGACAGACTAGTGTGCCAAGCCCAGCAAAGCTTGGTGATTAGTTGGATGACTTTTACCTTACCATTCTGAATTTAATTTCCCACTTTAGAAATCTGATAATATGATTAGAGAAAATGATCTTTGTTGTTATTAAGTGTGAGTTCCAACAGACCCTATATAGGGTTTCTGAGGAGCAGCTGGTAGATTTGAATTAGCAGTTAGTAGTTCAGTGCTTACCCTACAGTGCCACACTAGGACTCTGTAACATGATTGAAGATAAAGATAATATATTTTAAAGTCCTTAACAGAATTTGTCACATTATGGTACTATTATTGTTGTTATAGTTGCTGTACTATTTCTCTACCTATACAATATGTACTTGAACTTCCTCAGTTTTCATTCAGTCCTACCCCAGAAGTCACCTACCCCAGCATCAGCATCTCCACTCCTGTCAAAGCACATGCACCTCCCCCCTGTCCCCAAAAAAGAAGGAAATTCAGGTAAAGGGTCTTTACCTGAGTTCTAGCAAAATAGAGTAAAAAGCCAGAGGAAAAGCTGACTCGTTTACAGTCATTAGCAAGGTATTCAGCATCCATAGCTCTTGGTTTGGGGGAGTGAGGGGGATTGCAGAGTTATGAAGTTAGAGTGAAAACTCGTACTCCAATATCTTGACGTGTGCTCCTTAGGTCTAAAGAAATGAGTAATGGGAATGAATCGTTCATCAAATGGTGCAATACAATTGACACACTTGGCCACTAACCTAAAGGTTGGCAGTTGGAGTCTATTCAAAGAAGAAGGGCCTGGTCATCTACTTGCGAAAAATCATCCATTGAAAATTCTGTGGAGCACCATCCTAGTCTGATATGCATGGAATCACGACTAGCCAGTGTCAACTTGATAACTGGCTTCTGATTTACAAATTCTTGTATATCTCTGACAACTCTGCCTTCCTCAGAGTCATGAATGGTAGGTAATCTTGTACTCCAAAGATCTATAATTAGAGATTTTGTAGAATCATGAAAATAAAGAGTTACCTCTTCCAGGCCCTTCAGGTTGTCTGAAGAAGACCTTGGCAGCAGGACGAACATGCTGATTTTCCCCTTGGTATACCTCATTTCAAGGATCTGAGCCTGCAGGTCCTCTATGAAGCCAATTCTAAACAAACCCGTTTGGTTCATCATCTTCACACTCTTCTTTTCGTTCTGCAATGGACATTAAGGGAGTCACGGGGTTGCTGTGATACACTCACAAACTCACAAAGCCACTTTCTTTCACTCCCCATGAGAACAAGCTTAAAGGGTTGATGATGAAAAGATGCTGGGTCAGAAGTTCTGAGTCACAACAGAGATTCAATCTAAGAGAGTCTCACCCCCAATGATTAGTTGGCCTCACTTGACCAACCTACCACCCATCTGTCAGTTTGTTGTACTATGGTGACTTGCATGTTGCTATAATGCTACAAAATTCTCAAGATAGTACTTGGTACAAAAAACACTCATGAAATTTAGGCTATTATCAATGAAAAAGGACCTCAATCCTAGATTTGAGTGTACAGATGCCAAATTATCCTCAGTGAAAACTATGCATGGAATGTCTAGAATATCATGGGCTGTAACACAGTACCTCATTTAGAGTGAAAGATGCATCAACAGTGTTTTTATAGTCAAAGACATTCTCCCATTTGGCCTTGAAGTACACGGCATTCACCAGCACTAACACAGTTGTATTATTGATCGTGTCCTTGCTGAAGAATTCCTTGATTCTACCTAAAGGAAACAAGCCAGAGAAAATCCTGGGTATAAATTGCAACAAAAGCCTTCATGTAGATTTGTTGTTGTTATTGGGCACCAATGAGTTGGTTCCAACACATAGTGACCCTAATCACCACAGAATGAAATGCCACCTGCTCTTACACCATCCTCACAACCATTTTCATATCTGAGCCCATTGCTGCTGCCACTGTGACAGCGTATCTCATTGGGGGGGTCTTCCTCTTTTTCACTGATCCTCCATTTTACCAAGCATGAGGTCCTTCTCCAGGAACTGGCCTCTCCTGATAATGTGTCCAAAGTATGAGAGATGAAATCTCACAATCCTGACTTCTAAGCAGCATGCTGACTGTACTTCTTTCAATGAAGATTTGTTTATTCTTCTGGAAGTCAGTGGTATTTTTAATATTCTTTTCCATGAACATAACTCAAATGCATCAATTCTTCTACTGTCTTCCTTATTCATTGTCTAACATAGCCACATGTATATTAGGCTACTGAAAATGCCATGGCTTGGATCAGGCATACCTTAGTCCTCAAACTGACATCTTTGCTCTTGAATACTTTAAAGAGGTCTTGTATTAGGCAGATTGGCCTAATACAATACATCATTTGATTTCTCAACGGCTGCTTCCATGGGTGTTAATAGTGGGTCAAGGTAAATGAAGTAGATTGAGTTTGAAAATAAATAAACAAAGGCAGTTTAACATCCCCAAGGTTGTAAAGGATCTCATTCAAAGTTGAACCCAAGAAAATGAAGCTACTCGAAACCCTGTGTAGGGATGGATCTGGAGTGAGGGTGAGGGAAGGAGGCTCCAATTAGAACATCTGGATTCTCTATATAACACCTGTGGTTGCACACGTGTCATTGGACATCTCATACCACAGTTTACCTTGCAAGTCCAGTCCGGTCCCACCACTGATTTTATTATAAGCTTCTTGAGAAAAGAAACATTGAATAAACTTATCTCCAGTGTTCATCACTCACTCATCAACACATCATATGTTGTTGTTAGCTGCCACTATGTTGGTCCCCAACTAACGACAGTTCCATACATAATAGGGTTGGACCATGGTGGTCCACAGGGCTTTTAATAGCTAGTAGATTGGCCGCCTTTCCTTCCTACTGTCTTAGACTGAAACCCGTTCAGCATCACACACACTTGTTGGGGGTTGTTGTTGTCAGGTGCCATCGAGTCTTAACCGACTCATAGTGACCCCATGCACAGCAGAACGAAACAATGCTCGATCCTGAGCCAACCTCATCACCGCTGCCACCCCCGAGTCCATCAATGATGCCACCTGGCCGATCCATCTCATTGGAGGTCTTCCTCTTTTTCTCTGACCCTCCACACTACCCAGCATGACATCCTTCT